ATCAGACAAAGCTGATTTAGCTATTTGTGGAGATGTGTGAACTAATTTTAGAAGACTCCATGTTTAGCATCTGGACATTACAAGACAAGGGGCTTATTATTAATGAGAGCTTATGGCCCTCCATAAACATTGACAAACACACAAGAACTGTAAAACTTGATACATTTAAGCTATGAAAAAGTATAACAATCTGCACATAGATTAAAAAAGCTATTTTAGAAGATAAATTTACAGAGATACTAAGAAGTCACATTAATAACATTTGTATCATAAATGTCAAATATCAGTATAGATCCCATTGTTTCTTTATAATCATCCACTATATTCACAACAGCAGAAAGTACACAAGAGGAAGCAAATGCTATAAGCACCGTTGTTGTTGTTATTGTTAATTGCGAAGTCGTGTCCAACCCATTGCGACCCCATGGACAGCATTCCTCCAGGCCTTCCTGTCCTCTGCCATTTTCTGGAGTCCATTTAAGCTCACGCCTACTGCTTCAGTGGCTCCATCCAGCCACCTCATTCTCTGTCATCCCCTTCTTCTATTGCCCTCAATCTTTCCCAGCATTAGGCTCTTCTCCAGTGAGTCCTTCCTTCTCAGCATCAGTTAGAGAAACTTAAAATGACTCTTTCCATATATCAAGGAAGTAACATAATTTTTTTAGGAAGGTGTCATTTTTAACAATATAGTATTTTTTGTTTAAACTAGGTTAAAATGTAACTTTCCCCTCTATATTTTGTTTCTATATTACTATCTTTTTACACATTTACTCACCGGCCTTAATACTTTGCAACCAATATCATAAAACTGATACAAAAAAACTGTAGATTTATAGCTGATAAAAAATGCAATAAAAAAATTCATGTAAACACTGTTAGCACAATTCAGAACAATTAGATTTATAAGTCTTTGTACAATGCAATCAAAGAAAAGAGTCCTTAATAGTGATAGCTGATCGCACAAGATCAAGATCATGGCTACATATGAAGTTTTGATTTTGAAGATGATGAATTTATTAGTTCCTCAGTTTTGTTAAGTCTCTGCTTCGTGCTTGGTTTCAAAATGCGATAGTCAACCTGTAATCAAAAACATTTTATTTCTAATTGTATTGCTTTTTGATTCAAGGTGACATACAAATTAAAAAATATAAAATATAATAAATCTAAAGAATAAATAATTCATTTTTAAAAGTGGACAATATAATTAAAGTCAAAGAAAAACCTGTACTAGCATCTTCAGCATGTATTGAAACAAAATGGAAGCCAATGGAATTGGTGTGTGATTTATGTAATATTGTCAGCGACTGAGCTGTTATCTTATATTATTTACAGCTTCATTAGCAGAATCATGCAGCATCTACAACAATAGTTTAAATGGGAGATGATTAAGACAAGGATCATAGTAGAAAGATTTCCCTGAGTCTAGGAACAGTGCTACATGGGTACCAACTAAAAGAAAGCAAAAGTTCACTTAATAGAGCATCAAATCTATAGCCTAAAAAAGAACAATTGATGCAGAAGTTGTAAAACCATTTTTTTCAGAAGAGTTCAGTTCCTGTCAGAACAGGCAATATCTCTGGCCTATTAGTCTGTCTTCTGAGGAACACTTTCAATTGGCCTGACTGAATCTCAGCTTATTACCTTACTTCAGTTCATTACAGCTTTCATACAATGAATGATAGCTGGTTATCACAAGCATTGTGATGGTGTCTAACCTAGGAACTGTATATAATCTGAAAATCAGGGCCCTTTGAATGCCAAAAGGACAAAAGGAAGCTCTGAGGAACCAAGTGCTAACCACAATTATCAACAAAGAAATGGACTCAATAGTGCCATCTTCTAAAAGTGCTCAGACAAATAGGAATAGAATCAATGCATAATATTGCTCTCAAATCCTATATTGACCAAATGCCTTCTCATTCTAGCTGTCGTTTATCCACCAAAGTCAGTCATAAATTGAGTTGATGCAACTTATCACAGGAACAGTTGTCTATATTAAACAACCTGTGATAAAAAGCCTTTTAGAAAGCCATTTCTAATATGTATACAGGTAGTCCTCACTTACCGACTGTCTCGTTCAGCAACTATGGTGCTGTCACTCAATCACATGATTGCTATTAGTCAGCACTGGTGTCTACGCCTGACCTTTATTTTTCCCCCTTCCACCTCTTGCAGAACAGAGATTGGAGAGAAGAGATTACAACAGACTAAGCAGGTACACAATGAGGAATATACACTGAAAGCCAGGTGCTGATGCTGGCAGCCACTAAATACCTCAGTGTATTCCGCTTTGTGTGTTTTATTCTCTTATAATCTCTTCCTTTCCAATCTCTCCACTGCAAGGTGTGGAAGGAAAGTGATTTCTATAGACAATCTCTCCTATGGCTGACCCATCCACTTACCCCAACAGAGCAGAAAATATGGAGAGGACAGGAAAAAGGCACACAATTGGAAATACACCAAGCTGTTTGCACATCACCCTTGCAGCTGCCAGCACAAGCGCATTGCTTTCAATATGTATTTTCCATTGTGTGCCTGCTTACTCTCTCATAATCCCTTCTTCTGCAATAAATATAAATATGTATAAATACAAATACAAACATTAATTCCCTTCTTCCTAATGATCTCAGTGCCAGGGTGAGCATTCCAAAGACCAGGGGAGTGGTTAGGAGCAAATAAAAGCTGAAGATGTGAAACAGAGCAGTATTGTCACTTTGAGCTGGAAAGCACAGTTGAAGTTAGGTGATTTTCCACATAGTAACCATTTTGCTTAGCGAAAAAATTGGCGGTCCCAACTGTGGTCTCTAAATGAGGACTACCTGTATTAAACTTTAAAGAACATATAAAAAGCATCCATCATCAAGCATCACAGAAAAGACTAGAGACAGGGGAAAATACAAGTCTCCTATTCAGAGCACTGTGAGAAAGTAATACAATACTTACAATAATTCTAGACTCTGAACTACCATTCCAAATCACTCAAGAGCCGTGAACCCTCCCGTATATTCAATGTTTCATGGGATACAATAAGAATACAGTTCCAGCTGTGATCATTAAGTTCTGTCTCTGGATTATCTATATAATATTTATCTTGATTATTTTTTTTTCATCCCCAGAATATTTTTTCCTCTGTATGATTATGAATCTTATTCAAATGCAAAAAAAGAACTACTTTAAGAAAAGAATCATATCTATACCATTGAAGTATCTGGACTAGAAAATGGTGAAGCACCATAAGGACTGTTCTCTTTGTCAAATGAGTCATCGCGACTGCTTTGTGATGCAAATTTCTCTTTAAGAGCTTCTGCTATTAAAGCTGCTGGATCCCACTGAGATTGCTTTATTTTATTTCTTTTGGGTAGAGGTGTACCTCCAGGAGATCTGGAGAAAGAAAAGCAGAACATTTGCAATTTCTAACGTAAGACATTGCTATTGAAAAAATCAAAACATGTGTTATATTTTCTAATCTGCTTTTGTTCTAATTTATTTCAGTATCCTCCTTTCTACAGCACCTTTGATTGCCCTATGAACTGTAGCAATATTGCACATGTTGTTTTGCAGGCAGCTATACAGCAGTGAGCATTCTGATGTTTCGACTGTACTCTGCTATTTTTTTTTACTCTACAGGTACTCCTAGTCTTACAACCCACAGCTGAACCCAGAATTTTGTAAATGAGTCATTGCAGTCGTGAGTTACTATGTGACTGGAGTTGATTTTACAATGGTTGTTAAGGAAATCACTTGTTTGTTCAATGAATCATGTGGCTGTGTATCCAAAACTAGCTTATCCAATAGGTGTTTTAGGCTAGAAAATGGCAAAAGAAGTTACAAAAAGCGATCGTGTGACTGCAAGACACTGCTACCAGTCATAAATGTAAGCTGGTTGCCAAGTGCCCAATCACATGACCTCAAGGACGGTGCAGCAGTTGTAACTTCAAGGCCAGATTTTAAGTAATTTTTTTCAAGTTTGTAGTAACTTCAAACAACCATTAAGCAGCCGGTCATAAAACTGAGGGCTAACTGTACAGTTTAAAAACAAGAACTAAAGTCCTAGCTCTTCCAAGTAAACCTATGCCAGAAAGGAATATTCTTTGCAAGGCTGAAATTTATTTATTACTTTTATAAACTACTAAATCCCTAAGTAAGGACTCTTGTCAATGTACAAGGACAATAGGCAAGAACAAATTACAAAAATCAAAGGCATAAAAATGAAAGGCCCACAAACTAATGAAAACATAGAACAGAATCAAATTAACCAAACCAAGCTGTTAATGAAACCAAGGCAGGACTGTGTCCTAAACACCCTGGGGAGGCAGTCAGGGTGAGAACCAATTGCCATTCCTAAGGACCAGGATAGCCACTGAAAAGGCAGTGGTGGCACTGAGTTTCGGGCTCCTTCACCCCTTTAAAGTGAAGCACTGTTTTTGTCTTGGTTAGAACTAAGGAGAAACTTCCTGACAGTTAGAACAATTAACCAGTGGAACAACCTGCCTCCAGAAGTGGTGAATGCTCCAACACTGGAAGTTTTTAAGAAGAGACTGGACAGCCATTTGTCTGAAATGGTGTAGGGTTCCTGCCTGAGCAGGGGGTTGGACTCGATGACCTCCAAGGTCCCTTCCAACTTTATTATTATGGATCATCGCACAGTCAGCCAGATGTTCAGACTGGATTTGGCATTTTGTCTTAACTATCGAGTCCTTACCAAGGACCTGGGATAGGCAGATGTGGATGTTTGATGGTATTACAGATATCATCGCAGGATGGAAGCAGTTCCTAGTAAGGCCGCCTTTTGCAATTGACTAATGGCGAATTTGTCAATGCCAATGGTGTTCAAGTGGTGCTCCAGTTGTTTTGGGATTGCACCCAAGGTGCCTATTACTATTGGTACTACCTTTGCTTCCAACTTTTTTTTTTTTATTATTATTATTATTATTATTATTATTATTATTATTATTATTATTATTATTATTATTATTATTATTATTATTATTATTATTATTATTATATTTGGGCTGCTTCTCATGGAAGATAACTAAGAACCAAGCCACGTAGTTTCATAAGTTTGTAACAGCACTTTTTTTAAAAAAAAGAACTTACATTTTGTTCAACTTACTTCTCAATAGCTCTGAGTTTAACATTATTTATATCCTTGAGAACATCCATCATATCGGGAATAACTTTAACCGTCTGATGTTCAGCATCGTCTTTAATCTTTTCAGTCTTTGTAGCCCGACGTTGTTTAATAAGCTGAACTGCCGAATTATGGGAATCAAAATCAGATTTTAACACAAACGAAGGTGGCAGCGGTGGAGGTGGAGGTATGACTACATTACAAAGAGAAGTAGGAGCTGGCGTAGAAAACATTCCTGGCTGCAGAAAACTATTAGGAGTGTTTGATAAAATCCCAGTATCTGAACCTATTAAACAGTTGAAGAGAGAGGTAATATTAAAATAGGCACCTGTAGCATTGATGGATAAATGTAAATACCAGATAGTGACTGCTTATTTTAGAACAGTACTACATTTGAAAACCAGAAAGTATAAATAATAAGAAGCTAATGAAATCAAAAGAGAGAAAAGCAAAACTACACAACACTGGTTCTGATACTAATTTAATCACAAGGATCATTAGATCATTTTGATCTCATCTCTCACCCTGGGCTACATTTCTTTAACGTTCTTATTAATAATAAAATACAAAATTTGAGAATTCATTTTTTTCCTCTGAAAAGAAATTTCCATGCCATCTGTTTAAAAAAAATTTCCTCAGTTTCAAAAGAAATTTGTCAAGTGGCACATTGGAATCTAAGAAACACATTCAAATCTTTCTTAAAAATAAGTAGAAATAAATGTGCAATTTTTTTTAGATTCAAGCTCAAAGTCCAGTATCTCCCCTGCCCAGTAAGTTAACTAGATGTTTTATGTTTAGAAAGAATCTGGGCTCATCTTCTCTTACTGTTGGTGGTAAAATCAGTAAATCTTAGGTGCAAACATAACCTGAAGCAATTATAAGCAAAACAATTTTCTACATAAAAGTTGTCGTCAGATGGCAATATGACTTAGTATCATTAGGAACAAGAGAAAC